CTTCTCTTTATAACCACACAGTATCAAAGTCCCATCTTCAGTTGCAGCAGTGGGCCAGGAGCCCCATGAAGTTGCATACATAATATTTCTGTACTTCTGAGTATTTGAACACTGATTTCCTTAGTAATATTACTATTTAAATGTATTGAGTTGAATTAAAATGTATCTCCTTGGAATTTGCTAGTACTCACAATATATAAATATATATCATCTCCATATTAAAATACACTTACAGTTTTTATTTTTTAAGTTAATGTGAGGGTACAAATAACCAGGTCCCAATATTTGAGCTTGTTAGGTACATTCCCTCTTGCAGTATTCCCCACCCAAAAGTAATGCCATACAACCCTGCTATGCCTATGAGGGTGGGTGCACCTGACACTCGGAAACATGGGGGGGCAATCCAGCTTCACCTCCCCTCTGGGGTTCAGTGCAACCCCCAGATACCAGAAACCAAAATCCTTCTGCTCCTGCAGAGTACAAATCCTTCTGCTCCCGCCCCTGCCCCTGAGGGCCTCTACCTGCAGCATCACCCGCTGACCTAGGGGTTGAACTGCCCAGCACAGCACAAAATCTGCTGTACTATGTACACAGCACCTAGAAATGGGATTCGTCTCTGAGACCCCAGTGATCTCACCCTGCAGGAGGCATGGTCCCGTCCTCATGCCCAGCACATCGCTGCTACAGCACCACTATGTGAAAAATCCCCTCATCAAAGGCAGGGCTTTCACAAAGATTCCTTGTAACTGAAAACACCTAGAACCAAAAACAAATGAACTCACACAACATACAACACAGTAACATCTTCTACCAGAAAAGAAAACTCCTGGCCAAACAAAAGTGACTTCAAATATAAGCAGAGATAATCAAGATAAGGAGAAACTAGAGAAATAATTCTGGGAGTATGACAGAAGGTAACATCAGATCCAAGAGAAAGTTGAAAACTAACCCAAGACAGAAAAAAAATAATGCAGGATATAAATGAAAAACTTACTAAAGACACAGACGTCTTCAAAAATAAACAAACAGAACTTGTGGAAACAAAAGATTCGTGGAAGGAACTGCAAAACATAATTCAAATCTTTAAAAAAAAAATAGACTAAGCAGATGAAAGTATTTCAAAGCTCAAAGACAAGTCTTTCTAATTAACCTACTCAGACAAAAATAAAAAAAGAATTTTCAAAAATAAACAACCTTCAAGAAGTATGGGATTATATGAAATGACCAAACCAACCTACTAATCATAGAAATTCCCGAGGGAGAAGGCAAAGTAAAAAGTTTGAAAAATTTATTTGAGGAAATAACCAAGGAGGATGCCCTGCTCGTGCTAGATAGCAGAGGTCCAGACAGGACAGGCTCACAGAGCACCAGGGGGCACGGGCCTGTAACCGGCACACTATCTGCAATCAGTGCAAAGGAAAAGTCTCTAAAATAAGCAGAACATCTTGTCACCTGTAAAGGAAATTCCCTCAAACTAACAGCAGATTTCTCACCAGAAACCTTATAAGCTGGGGGGACTGGGGTTCTGTTTTCAATCTTCTTAAGGCAAAAAACAACAGCCGTGAATTTTATATCCTTCTAAACTAAGCTTCATAAATGAAGAGAAAATAAAGTCTTTCTCAAACCAAAAAATAACAATTATTATTATTCTTACCACATATCATGAGTAATGAAAGTGATTATTATTAGGCATCAATCTGAGACTAGAGAAGAATTCTAACAAAACATCCACGAAAGGTGAAAGAAGAAAGACTAGAAGATGAATCTGTATTGCCCAGGTAATTGAGATGACACCCACAATTGGCAAAAGGAAAACCTTAGAAACATCAAAAGTAAGAAAGCTATGGGGTGGGGGGCTCACACCTGTAACCCTAACACCCTGGGAGGCCAAGGTGGGTGAATTGCCTGAGCTCAAGAGTTGAGACCAGCCTGAGGAAGAGTGAGACCCCGTCTCTAAAAATACCCAGGCGTTGTGGTGAGCACCTGTAGTCCCAGCTACTTCAGAGGCTGAGGCAAAAAGATTGTTTGAGCCCACCAGCTCGAGGTTGCTGTGAGCTGCAACAAAGTGAGACTCTGTCTCAAAGAAAAAGAAAGTAAGTAAGCCGTGACCTGGACAGCTGGAGAGCTGGAAGCTGAACAGGTTAAAAGCTCAAGTGCAAGTGGACCTTCAAAAGATGGCACATTCACATGTCCTATAAGCAGAAGTTTTCTTTACAACCAGTAGAAAAAGTGCAATCTATTTTACTAAAAAGTGAGTTCTTGTCCTTTTTCTATTCCCATCTTTGGTTTATTTTGAGGATCAAGATAAGGGGGGAAAGTTAGACAGCACTAAACAAGATAAAAATTGAGAGGAGGGTGGCCCCTGTGGCTCAAAGGAGTAGGGCACCCGCCCCATATGCTGAAGGTGGTAGGTTCAAACCTGGCCCCCAGCCAAAAAAAAAAAGAAAATTGAGAGGAAACATTGGGTGTCACTTTATTAATTGAAATATCCTAGGAACTATCAGAGATAGAAATGTTCTGGCATATTCAGCTGGGGCAGTCAGAGTGTGTTAAGATTGATACAACTGCAAGAAACACTATTGTACAACTTGTTGGCTATAGTAACAACAACATATTATATTCTTAGAAATCACCAAAAGTGTAGACGTTAATTGTTCTCACCAGACAAAAAAAAGATATGTGAGTTAATGCATGTGTTAATTAGATCAACTTAGCAATTCTAACATGTATACATATTTCAAAATATCCTATTTTACACCATAAATGTACATAATTTTGTGTGTCAATTAAAATATACCTCTAAAAAAAAATGAAAGCAACAGAATTAGCCAAGTTGACATTTTTCCACTGCTGTTGTTACAGAAAATTTTTCCAAAGAAATTGAAGAATTCTCTTTAAAAGACAACTTTTGAAATTATGCTTTACTATGAAATCTAGCCAATTCTGAAATTCTGTTGTGGAAACTGAAGAAGCAAGAGATTTGTAGTGTGAAAGTTGGTGCTTCGTTATGAAATTTCACCCTTTTTTGCTCATGTTTCAGAGAGGGTTCCACAGAGAACAGGTAAGTTTGCCCAAAGGGAGAAAAAAGGGGTTCAAGATTCCAAAATGGGTAGTGAATTGAAAATCAGAAAAAGTATTATGAGAGTAAGGAAAATTAAATGTGTGATTTGATGAATGATTGACAAGTTAGCCCAGGTTCCACTGAGCAATATTTATGGGGAAAGGTGGGAGGAAAGGAGAGAGTCCCGGAGGCCTGGGCCTGACATTCTTGTGAAAGGCGCTTGGCGGGGCGTGGGGAAGGCCGGGCTGCATTCCTGCATTCGCAAACACCCGGAGAGCTCTCGGAACTCTTGTTCATCTTTATGCTGCTTTGTGCTTGTCTTTGTGCTGGCAGAAGGTAAAAGAAAAACACTAGAGACTAGTCTGTAGTTCCCAAATCAAAGCTTGGCTTAGCTGACTGCAGCAAGTGGCTTGTCAGAGTCCAAGTCGGTGAGGACGTTAAAACTCCCCGTCTCTGTGGACTGACAGGCTGAGTATTGCCAGGGTTTTTTGTTTTTAATTCATAGATGCAAAAAGAGTATGTTTCAATGTATCTTACATTTACCTTGAAATATTCTAAATTTTTTTTTCAATTCGATTGGCTCTTGGAGAATATAAAACTGGGCCGGAAAGCACTTAAGGAGACCGTGGGTGATGCGAGGAGGTGCCTGTTATTACAGAACTCCAGAGGGGAAGAAGCTATGGCCACTTAGACACTCTTGATGACGACTCCAAGACCCAAAGTCGTTGAATCCGAGCGAAAAGCCAGGTCCGGCAGTCCTGAGTAGGCGGTCCGGGGGTCCCGCCCGCCACGCACGGCCGGGGCGCCTCTGGGACGTGGGACTGTGCCAAGGTTGGCGAGGTGAGAAGGCCAAGGAGTGGACAGGGCTGACTTTTAAAAAGCTGGAGCGGCTTTTCGCGTAAGGAGGCAAGAAGGGGGCTCCGGGGTGAAGACACTGGAGAAGCAGGCAGCCCGCCCCTTTCTGGCCTTGGGAGCGCCGAGTAGCTGCCGCGGAGTTGTCTACCATGACGGTTTTCAATTTGGGAGAAATTAATCGCTTTCGTGTCGCCCTCCAAGCTGACTGAAGCCACCGTCGTCACCGAATGCATCTCCCACGCTCGTTACCGGGAGATCACGCGTCTCCTCCCAGGGTCTGGGCGCATTTCAGCTCTCCCTTCCTCCTTATTCCCAAATCTTTATCTTTGGCTTTGTCAGCCCTAAAGTCACATTGGCACCTTGGGCAGTCCTGGAAGGTCTCTGGATTCCTTGTTTAGGCGAAGGTCCAGAGGACCCCCCATCCTGCCACCTCCCTGGGAGTATCCTCAATTGTCATTTACGGAGCCGTAGGGCGCCCTCTCCCCCAGACTGCTAGGCGCGCGGCGGGGGGGGGGCGGGGAGCGCACCTGCAGCCGCCGCGGGGGGATGGGGGTGTCCACGACGACCCGCACAGTCACCCACCCAGAATCGGCTGGTGGCGGGTGCGGCGCGGAGGGTGGCACCAGCTGCGTGAAAGGAGTCTTTGTGCAAGAGCAGGCGTGAGGGCGGGCGGGGAGGAGGGAGAAAGCTGGGGTCCCTGCAGCCCCCCACTGCCACCGCGCCTGGATAACAGGACAGTGCCCGCAGCGGTTCCGGGCAATGTTGCCAAGCAGAGGCTGCTGGGGTCCCTCTGTTTGGGCCTCCCTCAGGCAGCTTGGAAGAAAGCAGCTCGGATAAGTTGAGGGGAAAAATTTGGCCCCCAGCCCCTCTCTCAGGTGTTTGGAGACGTCAGCTAGCTGGAAGGGCGCGGCACTAGCGGGGACCGGTCGCAGAGTCGCAGAGCCCAGGGCAGCCCCCGGCAGAGCCTCGGCGCGGAGCTGCCCCTGCCTGGGGAGGGCGGGCCGCGCCGCCTTGCCCCAGCGCCGGCCGCGTGGCTCCCGGCATATTTTCCCAGCTGGCGAGCGTCGCGCTGCAGACAAGGGAATGCCTGTGGTGAGTTGTTTATTTTGCTGAAGTTTGCGGTGGGCCAGGGGGACGTGGGGGGGCGAGCGGCAGGCACTGCTGGAACTGTTTTGTTTTGGTCTCCGTCCACCTGTGTGGCATAAATCTGCCAGCCTCGGGCGGCGGGGGGGCTGGGGTGAGAAAGCCCCAACGCTCCAAAAAGCCCCTTTGGTCCCTCGAAGCTCAGAGCCACATTCCATCCCCACGCCTGGAAGCCGCAGGGTCCCAACTGACGCTACCTCCATGCCCCTGAGGACAGGGCTGGCACCCCCAAGTCAGTCAGCGCCCAGGACCCAGGGCCAGCTGGCCATTGGCCTTCCTTCCCAGGGCCCTCCTCCGACCCTTGAAAACAGCAGGGGAGCGGGGGTTTTGCCATGAAGGGCATCCGCTGAATTACTGGGGACTTGTTCTGGTGGCTTTTCTGCGTGAATCCGTTCGCGGGTGTCGGGTCTGCCCCGTACTGCAAACTGGGGCCCTGGGTTGGCTGAACTTTCCTTGATTTCAGGCTGGAGAAAGGTGGGCTGTTGGCCCGCGGGGGAGCCCAGAGGACCCTAGGGGCTGATGGAGGTCACACCGGCGGCTGCGTTTGCCTGGAAGAAAAGTCTAAATACATTAGCGAGCCGGTAAAGCTTTTAAGGCCTTCTTGGGAGTGAGTAGCTGGCTAATGAGAGGTTAATTTCGTTTCCAAGGGAAGACTGCGCTGGTTTCCTGAGATAAATGGACAGGAAGCTCATCACCTCCTCGCTGGCAAGCGGCTCCCAAGTGCTTTTTGCACCTGCCGCTTTGGGCCGCAGGGAGCTTGCGGCGAAGAGCCCCTCCTGCCCGGCCCCCTCCCCATCCCGCGGCGGCGCCGCGCTCACCCCAGGCTCCGGCGCTATTCTGTCCACCCAGGTCCTGCGTGCTCCGGAGCTTGGGGGACCGCTGATCCCACCCGGCCGCGTCCAGGAGCGGAAGGGTTAAGCATGATGTAAGTACAAACCGCAGGCTGCTGGCCGCTGAGCTGTCGGACCCGCGATGGCTACGAACCGGGGAGCAGAGGGGGAGCCCGCGCTCCAGAGAGCGCTGCACGAATCGCAGACCAGGTCTCAGCCCCGAAGCGTCAGCCCTGAGAGGTGCTCGGGTTAGCTTCCTGGAAATGGAGAGATACGAACCCGGGAACGGTTAAGACATCACGCAGGGGTCCAGGAAATGGACCTCCTGGTGTGTGGAGCCATCCACGCGTCTGGCCTGTCCTAACGGTCCGCTCGTGCGTCCAGGCCGCGGCGTGTCCTGCGGAGTCCCCTTTCCTTCTGTTCGGGCTCATCTTTCCTTCCTGGAATCTAAGTCCCAGGAGGGAGCACAAGAGGCGAGAAACGGGGTGTCTTATGAGTTACACAAATTGTCAGCTTCGTAATTTTTTCTGATTAAAATGTAAAACTTTCGTCATAGATTTTATGTTTGCGCTCCAGCTTCCTCCCCAGATTCCTCTCCGTGGAGCCTAAAATCCTCCTGGACTCTTGGGGAGCTCCAGGGTGGCGGCTCTGGAAGCGACTGGTGACTACACTCGCTCCAATCCGGTTTCCCACCCTGCTAGAGTGACCCAATGTCTCCAAAATAGGAACCCCCTTGCGGCTTATTAATTGTGAAAATTAGCATTTTCCTCTAGTGGCTGAACACTCATGCAGCAATAAATAAAACGTGGACTGTTAGGCGCATAAATCTCGAGCTTGTCAAATTTTACAGCAGAGGAACAATAACGCACCTTCGGGGCGGTGAAGTTTCCAGCTGAACAGTTGGGTTTCCCGACGCCAGCCTTGCAGCAACTCCAGGCCGCCCTCTAGTGCCAGGAAACGCGGGCGCGCCGCGGGCTCAGGAACAGGATATGGGGCGGGGCGGGGGGAGAAATCCTCGTGTCACGAGTGGAAAGACCCAAGCCAAACTGAATTTATTGATCAGTAGCTATTGGTTATATATTTTGAAGAATGGTCAATAAGGTGAAATGCTTCTATCATAGGGGTCGAATTTAAATCTTGGGTTAAGAGAAAAAGTCATTTTATTGTTAGTCTTTGTTAGGCAAATATTTTGGAAATCGGTGTTATGTTTGATTACTTTTAAAAGGTGTCTGCTAATATTTAATGAACTATTTTATTAATTATATGTAGTGATTGCAAAAGAGTAGTTTTTTGTTCTAATACTATTTAGTCCACAGCATAATCTAAAATGTCAGGTTACCTCCCCCCGCCCCAAGTCATTAGACGCTATTAGGAATACACGAGTCTGGGACTCTATCGTGGGTAGTGGAGGGTGCTTCCCACTCATCGTAGCACGCAGCTGAGTAATGAAAAGTCACAGCGACAGCAGACGGGCACCTTCATTAGGATCCTAGTGGTTTGAGCGGTTCACAGCGTGTCTAAGAGTAAGCTGTGGAGACCTAAGGTTTGCGCCCCCAGTTCTCCTGACGCATTGATTAGCACACTGAAACGTATGGAATACTAACTAATCTGTGGCTAGTAGGAAATTCCCAGCCAGAGATTCTGAGTAATGGAGAGGGGAGAGTTGCAAACTGCGATTGGAAGTTTAGTGGATTTAAAATGGCAGCCCCGAGCAGTTTAGGGAAAGGCTGTCGGAGGGCTGGAGGAAGTGACTACCAGCCTCGAGGCCATTCTTGAGATTAGATACCACTTCACTCCTACTGATAACAAATTGAAACCTGTCATCAACCTCACAGCTGCCTTCCTGTGTCTCCACTCGGCAGCCTCCTTCCCCGCAGACGATTTTTTCCCCTCATTTTTGGGCCCATCTAATCACAAAAGTAGAAACTGACCTGCCACAGGATGAACCTACCGATACTGTGGAAATTGACAGAAAAGCCACTGCCCCAAACAAACCGTGGCGGAACCACACCGCGGGAACTCGCCACTCTTTCATCTATTCTCTGTAACCAAACACGGGAGGTCCGCCCACCCGCAGACCCCTCCTGCCGCTCTCAGGAAAGGAAATGTCACCGCGGCGAGCGCCCCCGGCCCCACGCAGCCGCCGCACGCTCCTGCGGGCTCAGGGCGCCGTCCCGGCCGGTCCGACCCGCTCCGCACCGCGCTTCCCGCTCCGGCCTCCAACGCGGTTCGCGGCTCGCCCGGCGTCGGCAGCGGGCTCGGACGCGGCCCGGCAGACGCGATTGGCTGAGCGGAAACACCCGGGTCTCCTCTGCGGGGCGATTAGACGCAACTCGGGGATAAGTTGAGCCCGATCACGATAATTCAGATGGAGAGGTCAAAGGCCGATCCCTTTGCAACAACCAGCAGCCGTCGCCCATTTCTACTGGGCGCAGGGAAGGGGGGCGGGGGCGGGGAGAGGCGGGGGCGCGGAACTCGAGTTACGCCGAGCGGGAGGGAGGCGGCGCGGGGCGGGCCCTCCGGCTCCTGCGAGTGGCGGGCCGGGCACGACGGACGTGCGCTAGCCGCCAACCGGAGGAGGGAGGGGCGCAGCCGCGGCGGAGGGCGGCGCGGATTGGCGGGCCGGGCCGGGGCGGGGCGGCAGTGCGGGGCCGAGATTGACGGACGCGGGGCGGCCGCACAGACCTCCGGC